CACGAAGGGCAGCGAGGGGGCCGCGAAGGGCTGCAACGGGGCCACGAAGGGCTGCGACGGGGCCACGAAGGGCAGCGAGGGGGCCACAAAGGGCTACAACGGGGCCACGAAACAAAGCGAGGGGGCCACGAAGGGCAGCGAGGAGGCCACGAGGGGCAGCAACGGGGCCACGAAGGGCAGCGAGGGGGCCACGAAGGGCTGCAACGGGGCCACGAAACGAAGCGAGGGGGCCACGAAGGGCTGCAACGGGGCCACGAAGGGCAGCGAGATCCCGATTCTTAGGTCATATGCGAGGGAGTTCTAAACGTGAGCGCGACTCCTGGGTGCCTGGGCGTCGGGAGCGCGGCGCTTGAATAAATTGCCAGAAATTCCAACGCAAGGACGCTATTCTTCAGTAAATTGCAAGCAGATCTCCAGCGAGAGCGCGGCTCCAGAACGCCGGGAGAGCGATTCCTGAATAATTTGTAAGGAAGTCCCAAGCGAGAGCGCGATTCCTGAATAAAATGCAAGGAAGTCTCGGGCGGGAGCGGGGGTCCTGGCTAAATTGTGAGGAAGTCTCAGGCGGGAACCGTTGTTGTTGTAACCCGGGGGCCAACGACACAGTTTGACCCTCAAGACTTCCCCTGATAAAAAGCAGGGTGCGAGCCCCAGGAGGGGAACTTCAATCAAGAAAAAACACTGTGCACCGGACGAGGGGAGTAACAATAATTACTCTTCAGAAATGAGAGTTCAACAACAGCAGCAGCAGCAGCAGCAGCAGCAGCAACAACAACAACAACAACAACAAAAACAAAAACAGCAACAACAACAACAACCACAACCACAACCACAACCACAACCACAACCACAACCACAACCACAACAACAACAACAACAATCATTATCAGACTGTTCGCTCTTATTTGCCCGTGTGTCATCCTAAACGAATTCCCCACACCCTCGATACCCACCTTTTTTGTCTTCGATCACACCCCCTTTGGGAGGATTATTTCTCTTTGCAGGGGGCAGCGGGCTTAGACAGGCGGGCAAACCTGAACGGGCGGACAATCCTTCGTGGGCGTACATGTGCCCGCCATTGGAATTGGTGTGGGCCCTGCAAAAAGAGGAGGGGGAGAACGAGGGAGAGTGGGAGGGAGGGGGAGGGACGAAGGAAGAAGGAAAACGCCAGGAGAGAAGGAGCGAAGGGGGGGGGCGGTTGATTAGAAGCAGAGAGAGAGAGAAAGAAAGACAGGTAACAAAGGTAGAAAAAGAGAGAGATGGGAGAGAAAGAAAGAGAGAGAGAGAGAGAGAAAAACAAAAACAAAAAATGTGGGGAGAGGCAGGAGAGGGGAGGGAGAACGGAGGAGGGAGAGGGGGGAGAGGGGATTGGGCAGAGAGGCAGAAGGATGAGGGAAGAGAGGAGGGAATGAAAAGGGTGGAGAGGAGGGAGGAGGGAGGAGGGAGAGGGAGGAGGAGCAGGAAGGTAAGAGCGTGAACGTTCGAAGAAGTCCTAGGCGAAAGCGCCGTTCCTGAAGGAAGTCTCGGGCGGGAGCCCACGACGGGCGGGCGATCCCCTGACGGGCAGGTCGGGCGGGTGGGACATTCAAGCGGGATGCCTGAGTATGGCGAGAGCGCGATTACTAAGTAAATTGTAACGGCGTCCTTGGCGCAGCGTGTTTCCTGAGCGTCGAAAGCGCGATTTCTGAATAAATTGCATGGAAGTCACAAGCGAGAGCGCAATTCCTGAATAGGGGGTTCTCTGGCGGGAGCGGGGGTCTTGATTAAATTGCGAGGGAGTCTTGACTCAATTGCGAGAAGTCTCAAGCGGGAGCGCCGTTCCTAAGTAAATTGTGAGGAAGTCTCAGATGGGAGCGGCGGCCGCGAGGAGGTCACAGGCGGAAGCACCGATCCTGAGTGAATCGTGAGGAAGTCTCAGGGGAGAGGGTCCTGAGTAAATTTGGAGGAAGTCTCAGGCGGGAGCCGTTGTTGTTGTTGTTGTTGCAATCCGGGGGGCCAGGGGCCCAGTTTGAGCAGGAAGACTTTCCCTGTCAAAAAACAGGGTGCGAACGTCGAAGGGCACGCTTTGATTAAGAAAAACAGTATGCACCGGTGAGGGGGGTCAACAATCTCATTCTTCAGACATGAGAGTTCAACAACAACAACAACAACAACAACAACAACAACAACAACAACAACAACAACAACACCAACACCAACAACAACAACAACAACAACAACAACACCACCACCACCAACAACAACAACAACAACAACAACAACAGCAGCAGCAGCAACAACAGCAACAACCACAACCTCAACCACAACAACAGCAACAGCAACAGTAACCGCAACAGCAACAACAACAACAGCAACAATAACAACAGCAGCAGCAGAAACAGCAACAAAAAACAGCAGCAGCAACAGCAACACCAACCACAACAGCCACAACAGCAGCAGTAGCAGAACCCCCAACGACCACAACCACAACAACAACACCAACAACAACAGCAGCAGCAACAGC